ACAGCCCCACAGGGGTGGGTCTGTTCCCCTCCTCTGTGAGCAAAAAGCCTGCAGCAGCCAGGGAAGGAGCAGCTCTCTCCACCCCGGCCCAAGCACTCGCAGCCCCACAAGGAGGAGCTTGCTGCGGGCAACAGCCAGCACCCCCTCTTCCAGCCCCAGGGACTGCCCCACACCTCCCCTCCTTCTGCAGCCAGGGCTTCCCCTACCACACAGCCCCAGCCCTCGTACCCCACGCCAGGCTCACCTTGCAGGACCAGCTCTGCTCCTCTGCGCTTAAGCAGAGGCCTTCCTCCAGGGCACTGTGCTCACAGAGGCTAACCAGCCAAGGCACAGCCACCCCGGCAGAGCTGGGAGGGGAAGGGTCCTGGTTTAAATACTGCTCTGCCCAGGGGCACACCCTGACGAAGCACAAACAGAGACAGCTGAGGTTCCCCTGGCTCACTCAGCTCAGCGAAAGCTCCTACGAACGCATCTGCTCCATCACTGGCCTTGCAACAGCTGTGCCCGTGCCTAACCTGTTACAGAACCCGGCTGAGTTTATGCTGACGGGCCCTCGCTACGTCAGTAGGCGCTGCATGGGATTTACCGGTGCTTGGTTGTACAGAAGGGACAGATGTTTGGGCTGGTAATCCTGAGACATCACAGCATTTTGGGGAAGGCCTGAGGCATCCACCATGCCGGGGGGCAGCGCCCGGGGCCTGTGGGAGGCCACTGACGCGTCCCTGGCTGCAGCGTTAGGAGGAGATGGAGCTGGGCTCCCTACAACCGGCTGTACCGGGCAGCGGGTGCTGCCACACGTCTGGGAAGAACCAGGAATCACCCAAGATAACGTGTTTCCTCTTGGTTGCAGCCAGACCGAGACGCCGGTGCAGCGTCCCAGCGTGCTGTGAGATGGCGTCCTCCCCGCCAAGATGGGGAAGGGCGTCCAGCGTGTCCCCCTGCCGGGGCGCAGCCCTCGGCGGGCGGGTGCAGGTAAGGGGCATTTTCTACCTGCAAGCGAGCTCTTGGCAATCACCTCTCAGTTGGCAGCGGCATGGGGCCAAAGCGTAGAGCCAGCTGGTGTAAAACATGGCCAGGCGCTTAGCAAATTTGCAATCCACAGATTTAGGAGCCTGTGTTTTACAGCAGGGGCGGGCACTCCTGTGTGAGGGCTTTGCTTTAATGCTCAAGGGGAGCATGTCACCTGGAAGTCGGTGCAGAGAGCAGTGCTACAACGTACAGCCTACGCATGGAGGGGCTGTGTATGTTAGAACAAGGCGTCAATAAACAGTTGAAGTTTGCAGTCAAACCGGTTCAGTAATTAGATACAGGTGCTTGCAATATAACTTACCAGGGGCTGTGATTTTTTTTTTTTTTTTTTGTATAACTGATTTTATGATTACTGTGTAGGTGTTACATATAAACTGTACCCTGTTCCAAAGCCTAACTTGTAACACCAATTGGGATGAAACCATTTCACATTAAAAAAAAAAAAAAACCCCAAACATTAGAACATACAAACTTGAGTTAACTATTAGAGAAATACTGGGGTGGAGGCCAGTAGGGGTGGCACATCACATTGACGGGGTGATAAAACAGAATTAGCATGGGAGTGGGAGAACGCCATGGGTCAGCCATGCCTTGGCTGGTTATTCACTGCAACCAGTGTCATGAATGAATTTGTGCGTGTTGTCACAGTTGTGCTGGACCCCCAGCGGTGGATGTTTGCTGTCTTGCCAGTGATGGGTTAGAGGAAGCAAGCTGAGTTTCAAAGTCACCAGCTGCAAACGCAAGACTGGTTAGAGAGCTCCTGTTTTAGTCCGTGGCAACGAGGGTTGGCCTCTGTGTTTGCCACCAAGGGACGAATTCAGCTTTGGCTAGCCATGGTCCAGCAGCAGGGAGCAGGGGAGCCGGGCCAGGCCCTGACATGAGGGCTTCATCACAAGAGGAGTGCTCCGGGGAGCTGTACAGGCCAAGCAGACTGGGTTTGGTTCTGACAACCTCCTCCTCCTCATGCCAAACAAGCGGTAGCTGCTTGGGTGTGACTTCAGGCTTCCTAAGCAGAAAGGAGGCGGAGACGGCGTGGTTTGGGAAGTACCCAGAAAGGAACATGGCAGCTGAGGCAGGAAAAGCAACCACCAAGTCAGCAGAGGCAGTTCCAGCCTCAAATAAAGACCTGGAAAGACTGTGCAAGGTGGTAAGGATGGAGAAACTGAAACTGTGAACCACTGGGAGATGAAATTGCATCTATCTCTGGGGTCCCAAGGCTCTCAGAACATCTGACCAAGAGATATATGAGGATCAGGCATCACGGCTTGGTTTCCATACCTCTGTGCGTATCGAGGGAACGTTCCTCTGCTGGAGGGTAGTCTGCCTGTACTGCCGGCAGCTCAGCTGTCCTCTGTCCAGAATTGCCACTTTGGTGACACATGCTCTTCGGTGAATACCACCATGCCCAAATCATGCTACTGTAAGAGAAGGGCAGCTGGCAGCTTACTTGAGCTGGAAGTGATTTTCTGTTATTAGAGTCTTTGGAGGTGCCGAAGAGAAGGGATGGAGCTGATCCTGCAGACTGGGATATCAGAGATGATTCATTCCTTGCTCTGCGTTCACCACAGTACCCACCTCCAAACCGGTCCTTTGAGCTTGCACAGGACATCTCCCACTGGGCAAAGGCACAACCCAGCCCCAGAGCAGGCGGCAGAAGCTGGATCCAAACCTCCCCCACTGTACTGGCAAATTATTGTGTGTAATTTGCTGCAAATGCAAAGTTTGAATTTGAGGGCAAGGGCTGCTGTCTCCTCGTGCTGTTGATGCCTACTTTTCAGTTCTGAAAAGTTCTGAGTGCGAGAACTCCGAGTAAACATCTCAACACAAGCACGCAATGTCTTTGAGTACAGCCTGTGCAATCCAATAATTTATTAAACTTTCATCTTGTAAAGCCAGTTACAAATTAAAAAAGACAGCAGAAGGAACTCTGTAATAGAAATGAGCAAAATTACAACAAATAGTAATGGGATTTACATTCCCACGTGGGTTCAAGCTGCCTGCAGCAACCCAAGAGCCAGAGCACAGAGACAGTGCAGAGTTAGGACAGGGATAATCAAGGCTATTCTGATACATCATAAAGAGATCGAGTCAGCATATGGACCGATACAAAGAGTTACTTCTCAGGTTGCCTCTGTATTCCTGTTCTCTCTTGCTGTGACCTGCTTGTCTTTTTACTCTTTGCGACAAAAAGGGAATGGTGTTAGGGTATCTTCAGTTAAGCTACTTAAGGCAAAACTCCAGGTGAATGTATGATATGCAGTAGTGGCCGTCCTCTGAGGCTGGTGGTGTGGCAAGTGGACAAGGTGCTTGCACGTGCTGCAGTGCAGTGGAAATGAGAGACAAGCACGGATTACATATGCTGGGTTTTTTTCTTGTTACTGTCAACCTCAGAACTGCAGTGTTCTGCACCCCAGTATTAGTGTCATGGCACAATTTGATGATGAATTGGAACAGAACCTGTTGCATACGGACTCCCAGTTTTCTTTTCTAGCAAATTTCTGCTTCATAGCTAACAGGCCTCAGCTGCCACTTCTTCAGCAATGGAGGCATCTGATTTTAAACATGGAAAAAGGCCCAAGACTAGACAAGGGTCATAGAAAACAGCTAGCCACCAGGTTTCTTGATTGCTAACGCAACCAATTTATGATGTGACTGATGTTGAATATTGTTTTAAACAATGAAATCAAGTTACTGAAGAGGCTGAAGATGACTGTCATCTTTCACCGAGAACAAAAAAAAAATTCTGCTTCTTCAAATTGCAAGTAGCTATAAAAACCTCCAAGAAGCAGTTGTTTTGGCAAAACAGCATTGTTTTCAAGTTTTGCTGATAACTAGGGACCTAGAGGAGACTGGAAGGGGATCTGGGGATTCAGTGATGGGAGCAGTTCCAATCAGAATCTGGAGGAGGGTGAAGGGTTTTGGCATCTGCTTACAGTAGTAGAGAGGATGTGAAATTCTTGCCTGTAACCACTTATCTAGGCACCTCTTCACGCAGTAGGAAACCGTTCACCTAAAACTAAAGTTCAGGGATCCCAGTCATTCTAAAATCCCATACAGAGAAAGGAGGACCCTAACACAGGAGAGCTGCTCACCATAAAAACCCCTGACCTCCATCTAAAACCTGGCATTCGTGAAGAACGGCTCTTCTGGAAATGCAACTAAATCAGTGTCACCTGCAGGGCTGGATAGGTGCAAAGCAGTCATTGATTTCTAGGCAACAGGTGCTGCTTGGAATGTACCCAGAATGATCTGCTTCAGTGGTGCTAGTCTCAAAGGTTTTCTTCTATGCTAGAGCATTTAGAATTTTAACTTAAAGTGCTGCTTTTTACAGTCGTGTACCTGTGAACTTCTATTGGAAGGTAAAGCATCACCTCCAGTGTTTTTGTTTGTTTGTTTAATGCTCTCTCACATAGGGTTTGACCTCTTAGTTGGACCACTTGGCTTCAATTATACAAACGCCTTTTAAGACTAGATGAGATCATTAGTACATACTGAAAAACCCTACAGTAATTTATACTTTAGAGTTGCTTGCAAAATAAATAAACAAATATTCTTTTAGCAGACCATGCTGCAATCCCATGATCCCAGATGTTTGCATGTTGGAAATTCATATGGAAGCTTAAGTTTGCCTCCTTGTGAATATTTCTGCCAGTATGACAGGTAATGGTGAAAGCAGCAGAGAGGACAGGCAGGAGGAGGATGCTTCTGATGTTGCTTCTTTAAGGTACATTGTTCATCAAACAAGCAAGGGGAAAAACAAGTTTTGGGCCGTTAATATTTAACAGTTGTTGCTGTTTAATGTCTTTGGGCAGAGATGCAAATCCTGTGGTACTGCAGATGTCACTTCAGTTTTTAAGTACAGCAGTCAGTCCAGGGGAGTTCTTAAAAAACATCTTTGCTACACTTGTGCTGGCAAGTTGCAAACACCGACCATTAAACAACTGCCTCTCTCTCATGGCAGTTCATTCCTATCACCTAGTCCAGATGCTAGCACGACTGTCCACACTGGTGGCCGATTTGACACTGCAGCGCTTCTTCACAATCATGTTGATGTATGCTTTCATGATCTTTATTATCTCGCCCACCTAGAGAGAGAACACAGTAACAGAGGATGAGCACGTGAAAAACCTAACTCTGATGAGGCATACCAGACATTTTTCAGGAAAAGATTCCCCTTGTCCAAAGTCATGGCACTAAAATTTTGCACGTAATACTAAATGTGGAACAACAGTAAGGAAAGAAATGCCTGACAAGTTTGTGCTCTGTTGTAGTGACACTTAAAAAGCTTGCAGCCTAGAGCAAAGCCACTTTAATGCTACTGAACTTTTTTTTTTGAGTTTGTTAACTCCCCATTTATAGGGGAATGAAAGGGAATGAAAAAAAACAAGCACACTTGAGAACTCAAAATGTTAAATTCCCAGTGCATTGGAAGACTATTCAATCTCCTTCACTTTCTAACCAGCATCTTCTTTTTTTTTTTTCTCTGTTTATCCATGTATTCAAGAAGAAGGACCATGGCACTTCAGGCTTAAGCTCTTTTTCCTTGGCTGTCCAGTCCATTCAGCTAGAGTTCTCACATGTAAACTTGTCTAGTCCATGGAAATAAGAGCTTTATAGAAAGTGCTAGTAAAACTGCACGTACAACAAGTCTTGTGCTTTCATGTACCTGAGATGTTTCAAAGAACATTTCTCTCTCGTCCACTGTAATTTTGAAGGTGTTAGGCTGTGGCGCTCCAAAGAAAACAATATGCTCATACTGGAAAGTTTCTAGTGGTTTAGGATCCCCTCGTTTGTAGACAGACACATTCTCCGTGCTGACTCCAAGCCAAAGATCATTTGGAAATCCACCCTCCTTGCACTGCAGGAAGAGAAACATGAAATTTTGCATAAATGCAGTGGAGAATCAAATAATCTTTGATTCAAGGAGAAGCCCTCCATTTCTGGCTCCGTTGTTAGGACATTTCAGCGCTTCACCCCAACAGAAAAAATAGGATGTCTGCAGAAGGAATCTTCTAGGCACTCCTGCTGCAAAGATTTAGAAGTGACACAGCTGTGAGTCAAATACTAGTTGAGTAATATATAACTGTAATACCTAACAGCTCTCTTCAGATTTTAAAGTGATTCAGGAAGTCAATATTCCACTTATTTTTCAGATAATATAGTGAGTGCAAGCAACTTCCCATGGCAATCGACCTAGGCAGCAGCAAAACTGATAAAACTAGAACTGTGGATTCAGCAGTTTCTGTTGTACTGCTGCAGAACAGGACTGCATTTTTTGCCAGTAAGGGCAAGAGAGCTTCGTTCTACTTTTGCTTTCACTAGCCACCACCTTCTTAAGCTCCTCAAAATTTCCCCCGTTCTATTGCTCTTCTAGTGAAGTGGGAATCCATTGTCTCCCTCCATCTACCAGGGCGCACCAGCTTGCCTGCTGTGTGCTCTCTGCATCACACCTCTCTCGGCATGTGGCACTGCAGGCTTGCCCTACGCTTACTAGGGCAAAACGCAGCCAGTTCCTGAAATTCCCCTTCTGCTGCTGAGCGATGCAATACACACAGTTGTATCTGCTCTCCAGACTGATGCCGTGCCTTGGTAGCAGGTACATGAGTTTATACATCACTCACCTCAACGTCAAAGAGGGTTGACCCATAACCCGGCCACTCCTTTACAATGGACATGTATTTCACCATGGCCTGATGCTGAGAGAGTCCCTGCAGCTTGGTCCACTTCTGTGCTATGCTTGCCCGAGCAGCTGAAAGCTCTTCCTTTACCCACATCTCCATCATCTGCTCCTCTTCTACCCTCTGCTTCTTTACAGAGCCTGTCTTGAAGCTACGTTTCAATGTCCCTTCAAGGAAGCTGGTCCGCCTTCTCTCCAGAGTGTGACTGGTAGTGCCACTGCTCTTTGTTGAATGCAGTATTTTGGATTTCAGTCTGTTAACTGGGTAGATTCCATCCAGGGTCCAGCTTATTTTAGAATAATCTCCATGAAGGTACTGCAGCCGTAGAGCCGCTAGGCGCTGCAGAGTGTCCTCTGGTGCCGGAAAATGACCATCTATGAGGCTTTCATGAGCCTACAAACAAACAAAAATCCCCCCAAATCATGAGAAAGCAGAAGCATGCTTCATTCACAGCTGGGTACACATTCCTATGGCATCTGCCCATCCCAGCAGGAAGGCCAATCCCAGCAGGAAAGACATAATTCAGGAGGTCAGAGCAGACATTATAATAAAGAAGTCGAAGTCTGCAATTGGTTGATGTTGGGGGAACACCTCTTTCTGCAAGCCTTGTCAGGACAGGCATTTCTGAGGGGCCCCTATTCTGTACTGAAAGTCTTACAGTGAGGACTTTCTAGGTCTGGAACAGGTGAGAGAGACTGGAGTTGAGGCAATTTGTTTTGTGCTGTACCAGCTACAGCTCCTGTGTGGAGATCATATTCAACACCAGAGAGTTAGATGTAATAAACTCAAGACTCTTAACCTCAGTCTCACCACACACCAGCACATCCCACCTCCTCCTCCTCTTTCACCTGATGTCTCCCCCAATCTTCTTGCTTCCCTCTGCCTGTTTTTCTGTGAAATATATTTATGGGGGTTTTTTTGCTACATCCATCTAATGCCTGGATAACATCTACTCTCCTACTGTTAACTTCTCTTCCACCACTCTCTGCTTGTGAAAGCTGTGTAGACTGAAAGCCTTGTCAACAAAGAGTTTGGTACAACTGAGTTTCCACAGAGTACCATGATGTCTTGTTCCTGACCATTTCCTAGACATTCTGTAGTTAACAAGACTTAATTTTCATTTCAAGAAAGCCCTCTTAGGGAGCCATTGCCTGTGCGATGTGCATGCCGTCCATCTGACTGTCAGTGAGTTTCAGTCTTCGTGACACTGACCCCCTTTAACACATATTAATTGATTTTCAACAGCTATAATTTTCTGAAGCAAGATTAAAGTGTTCATTAGAAGTAAGAAAGGTGGGACGACTCACACAGCTGAGTAGTCCAGTCAGTTTAGTTTTGCATCCCTATTCGCAAGGTTATTTCATACCAGTGTGATCTCTGGCCTAACCAGCATCATTGTGCTATGGAGTATAGTGACTTAAAAAAGATTACTCAGCAGTCCTTTTTTGTTTTTCCTTTTTCTTTTTTACTCAGCAGTTCCTTTTTCTGTAGGACTCTTCCACCCTCTGTTAATTAAAAGAAATTGCCCAAAAGACATGTTTTTTTAGTCAATTCCTGTAACACCCCAAGGATGTGCCGTTCTTGTAAGCTGATACACAGCTAGCTAGACTTTCCAGTTTTCTTTACACCTATGTTCTGCAAGCAGCTACTTTTAATTATTCTTTTTGAATCATCCAAATTTCTGTACCTTTTAAAAGATACATTTTAAAAGCATTTTATTATCATTGGTCTTCCAGGTTTTTGAAGCCCTTGCTCATTTTTCTTGCTTCTGACCTAATACTTCTATTCCCTAGAAAACTTTGCAGTATTTTTGCTTGGTAGATATCAGGCAAAAATCCAACACATGAAAATATTCTGTTCAAACCAGCATTCCCATTTCTAATACAAAGGTAAGCCAGTTTTCTGTATACTCTTGTGTGCTTCTGCCACCCTGGAAACGAAATCATTATCCCAGAGCGAGCTTACCTGCTCAAACATGAAGGCAAACTCCACCCCGTCTCTGGGAACATTCTCAATATCCAAGAAGCAATAAAGCTTAAAATACAGCTGCCACTGTCCTTCCTCCTCTTCTTCTTCAGAGCCAGCAAGTCTGTAAGATAGGAAAGAGAGTGAGAGGGGGGAAAAACAGTAACCAGAAGCACCACGGTATCGAGATGTCCGCAGAGCAACTCACAACATGAAGGTACCCCTGGATTTCTGAAACAGAAAGCATACAGGACTACCTAATTTACTAGGACAATCTCAGTGCAGCAGACTTTCCCGGTAACTTCCATTTTTTTCCTCTGACTCACATGGAATTTTGATTCAGAAGGACTGAAAGTTCTTATGAGGCATACTTGATCAAAAAATTAGATCAAGGATTCTAGATAATGCGAGTTGGGGGCAGGACACAAAGTATTCCACATTTTCAAGATACTATTTCCACATTATCTTCTGACTCTGAAAAGCATCAGCCTTGCCATCATTTGGAACAATTTTTTGTCTCTAGAATGGATATAAAATAGACAATGGCATTGCCAGCTTCTTTCACAATTTATTGCTTTCTTTGTATGTCTGGCCACAAAATCACAGTCCACAGTAAGAAATCAGAGCTGCATTTCTATGCCCAAATCTTTGCACTCTCTTCTGATATAGGTATTATGATGTAAATTGAGAAGATCATTATCAAACTTAAGCAAACCTTCCCTGAGCTCTGCTAGTAAACCATTACTCTTTGATAAAGGCACTACTAATTTTGTCCTGAGGAACCTGATAAAGAATGCTTCTTTGTCACCAAAACAGATGTGAACATGGTTTTTCACACAGTGAGAAAGAGCACGTGAACCTTTCCAAAGGGAGGTTCAAACCAGAGCAAACTGCTGAATCACTGCGGCTGCTTTGGATCAAACTACCTGACTGTACTATCATTTAAACCAGTGTTACATCCAACTAGGAATTAAAGATTTTATGAAACATCTCTACCTCTCGAACTTGGCCAAGATATCAGCCACAATCACCCGACTCTCGACAGCACGGTCCACCTGCTGATTATGTTCAAAGAGCGCGAACATATTACGGCTGTCCTCCATTGCTAGACCTCGGATCAGCTTTTCAACCACCTGCAAAATCAGAGACACAGACCGCAGAGTAGGCATTAGACACACTTTCTCAACGAAGAATCAGTGCCTCTTTAGGACACTCATAATTTCATAGACCTCCATCACATTCCTTCCTTGGTTACCTCATTTTCAGATTAAAGAATTCTAACCCTAAAAGACCATTCCCTGCAAGGAAGCCATTACTTGTATTTGATCATCCTCACTGTTCTCCTGAACCTTTTCAATCTCCACTACCCTTTTGGAGACTGGGGAATCAGAACTCTGCACAAGATGCAGGCACATAATGGATTTAGATGTGACGATGATATTCCTGGTTCCTCTAGTAACAGTTTCACTCTTTACTATTACTTTTACCTCTGTTTAGCAGTAATGTTTTCACAGACATGCCTACTATAACCTGGAACCTTCTGACCTGTTAACAATTTATGTTACTGGTAGAATATACCTTCTAGGAAGATTACATGATGAACTGGAATTTCAACTTGTCCAGAGAACTGTGTTTAGCAAGTCTTCAGATTTATTACCTTTCCGACAGGCAGAACACCGAAAGTGTTTAGATTCTGCAACACAACTGTTAAGTGATATTCTACAACGGATTTTAAGGGTTGTAGTGGAAAAAAGGTAATTAAAGCCACGAATATATGGCAGAACATCAGAAAAAAAAAAAAAAAAAAAAAAAGATAAATGGGAGATGAATGGGATAAGGAATCCTTTCAACAGACCCAGTATCCAGAGACAGACGTGTGCTTACATCTGGTTAATGCTACTAATACATTACCTCCCCAGCGCTTGTGTGGGAATTGATGGTTATTTTACAGGAGCCACCGCCATGGCAGTACACTGTTGTGGTCATTTCTTCACGGGTGAGAAGAGCCTGTATTTCTTCCTGGGAGGGCACAAACTCCCTTGTCTTTGTTTTCTTCAGGGAATCACTTATGAATTGTGCATACCTGTCTATTTCTGAGCCTGGAAAGAGGTCTTTTACCCTAATTGTAAAGAGAAACAAAAAAAAAACCCCATTACACGCTGAACCAGAAAGCACGCACATTACCATATAACTTGGACTACTGTCCATAAAGAGTTCAGTAGAGATAGTGATGTCAAGAGCAGCCGCAGAAAGAACAAGCCTGCTTATTTCTTAAACCATACAACCTGCTTTTACTCGTCATTCCAAAGTCACGTCAGTGGCATTTCTCAGCAATTTATGAAGTAAGCAGTTCAAACTTGCAGGAGTTTAGTACCAGCTGAAGATACCGGGATTGACTATCTCAATTTACAGAATCAAGATTAAAAACCACGAAATCAAATGTAAACTTTTTTTCACTTATTCTTTATTGTTTTTTCATTTGCTGGCTGTGCTTGAGCCACTTCTACAGTATTTTTCAGAATCAAGAAGGTAGAAAGTAGATGCTTGTACACGGTTCTCTTCCCTCCAAGGCCAGCAGTTCCAAGTACAACATCATCTGCAACTCCAGTGATAAAAACATGAAATGGCAACATGGAGTATTCCTCAGCATCACTTAGAACCAGGCCCTGGACGTAGCTATTCAGTGTACTGGCACAGGTTTTATCAATCTTTCTCATCATTAATGAAAAGAGTGAAACTACATGGCTGCAGCTCAGCCCCAGTGAAGACTGCTTTGGAAAGCTGCATTAGATCCTGAACATGAACTGGTAAGAAACGTCAATGATTTAGTTCCTGAAAATTGGAGGTTAAAGTAGATTAGAAATACAAATTGTAAGCATTATGTGCTTAGCTAAGCAAACAAAGATTGAAAAATGAGAAATTGGATTTACAGCGTATCTACTACTCCCCAGTAGGACACATTTTGACTGTGGCAGCTGCAAGGTAGTACGTATCTCAAGGAACATGAAAGTACGGTCCTCACCTTTCCTGCAAGTTGAGAATGTTTATATGGACATTAGTAAGCAGTAGGTGATGGGCTTTTATCACAGTTCCACAGTATTCTCTTTGGGTAGCCCTACTTTCCACATCCTTTCGATGCAACAGATGGGTGCCAAGGGGGAAGTTTGAATACAACAGAACAACTGGTAGCAAGAATTGTGCACAAAGGTAGGAGGCTGCAACACCTCAGGAAGATGTTTGCACAGGAGGAGGCCGAGACAGGTAACTACAACAGGCAGTGGAAGATAAGCAGAGAGAAAGGAAAGAGGCTGCGAATGAAAAGGACGTGTACCTTCTAAGGTGGAACTTGAGGTAGCGAAGGATCCCTCTACTGGGCAGAAAAGTGCAGCTCATACATGACATCAGCTGCCAGTGGTGCAGGTTCCCAGTGCTGTTGGGATGTGGCATGTGATTAGTTTGTTTGATGAGCTGGCAGTACACTTCATCACGAAGTGGCTTTAAATCATGGCAGGTCTGCAGAATGCCTTGGATAATGGGTATGGGGTCAGACACTGTCTCAATTTCCTGAAGGGAGTTGAAGATCTTCACCGCTTCATCCTGTAAGCTGCTGTAACCCTTCTCTTGTTGCACTGGGGAATGATCACAAAGGTGACAAGCGGTGAGCATCTTCCTTTTCTACTGTCCCAGCAACACTGCTAGCAACTGTACTAGTCTGCCACGGAACAGCAACCTGAGCATTAGCTCATCTCCTGAACTTAAATTTATACTCAAAATTCACTAATACTTCCCCTTCAAATGTGCAAATGCAGTTGTAATTAGTATTTGCCAACATGTCACAACTGCAAATCCATTTTTGGTTATACTGTGCAGAAAAACAGGGTAATGTTTTTAAAGGAAACTAGCACTGAAATCTATCTCAGGCTTCAGTGTCTGCAGATGAGGTGCCAAGAGACAGCTTTTGGCACCTTGTCTGCAGACAGGTGAAGGTGTGGCAGAAAGTCATCCCTGTAAACTCTCTCCTCACTTGAGAGCAGCTATAAAGGAGAGGGTCACTAATGCAATTAAGACTTTAAGTGTCTGAATGCAGACACCAAAGCCTGGCTTACGTACTTCCAAAATTCAGGGTTGTGCCCATATTAGCTTTGACCCCTGAGCCAACATAGAATTTTGGCAAATTGCTGTACCACAGATGCAATTGTTCAGATTTAAAATGCCTACACCAACACTGGTTACATCTTTTAAGCACCTACATGTCTGCTTTGAATTGCTTGGAAGTATGTGATACCACCATACTGCTGCAGGCTTGCATTCTCCTTTGCACATCTCTGGGGCTGTAGGTCCTTCTGAATCTCCTAGACAGCCATTGCTTCCCCAGCCTGGGACCATGCATTAATTACACAATACAAACACATAGCCCTGTAGCAGTAAGTTCCACAGTGTAAGTATTTGCTCTGTTATTTTTCTGTATTTCAGAATTTATTTTTTCTGTGTTTTTGATCTGCCACTTAATTTAATCCTTGTATCATGAGAGACAGTGAGCACTTATTCCCCTTTCACTTTCTCCATGACAGTCCTCTAGCCCTAAAACCTTCTTTGTGAGGCTGAAGAGTTCTGCTCTATTTAGTCTCTTAATTGTAGGCAAGCCTTTCTATGCCTTTGATCATCTCTGGGTAGGTTTTTACTTCTCCTGTATCTTTGTTAAGATGTGGAAGGCCAAGCTGCATCTGGTATTCAAGATGCAGGTGCATGGTACATCAATACAGCTGCACAAAGGCTTTCTTTTTCCTTTTCTAAGCTTTCAAAACCCTGCATTAGCTGTTTCGTTTCTGTGCTCAGCACAAGAGTTGACATTTTCACAAAGCTATGTAAATTTGTGTTCACTTTCCCAAGCAGAACTAGACCCATCACCGCCTATGTGGCAGACTTTTTCCTGTATACATTGCTTTGCATATCCAGAATGAAATTAATTTGTGGCCCAGTCACTCTGTGTACAGAGATTCTTCCACAGGTCTTCAAGCAGCGGCTTTCAGTTTTCATATGCCAGTCTGGAATCACCAGGCAATCACTTTGGTTTTCAGGTGGCCTATCAAACAGTCTAGCTCTCACACGTTCTTGAAGCATTTGAAGAAAGGATTCCTTTAGTCTGGTTTTACAGCAGCTTCTGCATGAATACTATTCCACTGCCAGCTGCATGATGTTATCCTGTTGTAGGATTTGTACTAGAGCCATTCGCAACCCAGCTGCAGCTCAAGGATGACAGGCTGCACATCCCCCAGACAGATGATAAACTATCTGTCCCCCATTTATTTTAAGATTCAACGTTCCTAAGATACGAGGCAGTGCACACAGAATACATTCTGGGTAGAGAAAGGGACCGCTCCCTCTCTCTGAACCCTGTGGGCTACACTGTCCTAAACAGACTTCACTGCATGGAGAGAGCTTACAGACCGCTTTTGTGGCGCTGAGGCTCCATGCCAATCCTCAAAATGTGAGCAGATTCTGTCACATGGGTAAAATACTTACAGTTGATGCTAACATCTCCATATGGTAGTGGGAGCAATGGGGAATGCAAAGGGTGCTGGGTATATCGCAAGATTGGGTTCCTCCTATATGTCTGTTCCACTACTTCAAAGTTCGTGCTGTTTTCCTGGAGAAAAAAAAAAAATTATCCTCAAATGGGGATAGTCTTTTGCAGAATGCCCTTACACATTTAAGTTCAAGCTCAACCACCTTTATCTAAGTTTCTGGAGGTCCACAGAGGGACTAGGTGACCAAAGCATAATTCACACATAAAAATTACTCTGTACATTATTTCTGAAAATTAAAACATAAGAATAGCCATGCTGGCTGGGTCATATCAAAGCCATATCAAAGCACAGGATCTTGACTTCAAACGTAGCTTGCAGCTGATACGTAATGCAGGCATGTAACAGGCATGTATGGCGTGATTCCTCCCTGGTATATCCTTCAAACTTTCAACAGTAAATGCTAATGCACTTTCCGACCACAGATCCACCATGTTTAATATGTAATAATGAGCCTATCCTCCTTGAATTTGTCTGCTTGTACTACAGGTGTTTACAGACGGAAAACCAAAATTCACATGGTGTTCAAAATCTGGGCCTGTCACTGTCACACACACGGGCATCACATCCTTCCACATTTTGCCCTATATTCTTTCCCTAACCATACTTAACGTTCCATTTGTCCTTGAACCCTGAGCTGAAGTTTTCCAAGGTTCTCCACAATCACTCCCAGCACTTTCTTCCCAAAGAGTTAATATCTAATTGCATCTAGTTTAGAGCTTATCACAATGTGTATGTTTACATATACATTTCTTCTGAAATAGGGTCTGTCTTCTAATATGATTCTGGGCTTAATTTGCCAGAGTTTCTGGAAAGAAGCCTTTTTAAAAATTACTCCTGCTACAGTGGCACAACTCCTGCTGTTTTGAAAGGTATTTTCTTTCCACCCTGTACTCTGCTACTTAACCATGCAAGCCTAAGGCACGAAGAGGTCTTTAGTGTACAGCAAAGTCACATGGCTGGTAGGAATGGGAATTTTTGTATTTGTGGCCAGAGGATGCTTAGGCACAGGAAAGGATGCAGCAGGGATGTGCAAATGCTTAATGGTGTAATCCCGCATGCAATCTGTAATTATACAGATTGTAGCCTAAATTTAGGCTGATCAGTTAACATGCTAATTCAAAATAAAATTCACATTAAGATTTGATTAACTACTTGCAAAAACATTTTGATTTCTAAGAAATAATTTATTTTTCTTTTCTTTTTTCCTCTAAGACTCCATTTCTTGCCAGATTCTCAGCAGTGACTGGGTAAGGCCAGCAATGATCTGGCTGCTCCCAGCTCACTTGGGAATTAGCATGATGCCACCTACCCTGATGTCACGAATGAGTTGCTGTGTTGGTGTTTCTATGGGAACTTTGCTGTCAATGACACCTTGAATGGCAGAGGCCCAGCGCATAGCTTCATTCAGCAGCTTTGTGTACAGTCTGTAGGAGTGCTTTCGCCCATGGACAATGATGTTCCAGTAGCCTGTGGAGACATGAAGGAGCTGGAAGGTGAAACTTGCTTCCATGTTATCTTCTTTTTGTCCGTAGCACATGGCTGAGGAAAACCCTTGCCGCTTTGACAGCAACATACGGCGTGTCTGGTTAAAACCGATGTCCCCCATTCCCAAAACATATTATCAGCAGGATTTTTTTTTGTCCAGGTTTTGGCACAAAGACAGCTTTCCAAGATACAAGTATGCCACAGTGTAACACGAACACTTCCCTGCTGACCAGGCAGCTCACTTTCACAGACAGGGTTTGGGCTACACTATGCTATTAATCACTCAGAAAATGACTACTCTACACACAGCACCCAGTCAGATTACCAAATGAATTCTCATAACTTTTAAAAATAATATGTTTGACATAAACTGAGAGAACAGGTCAGGGTGATGACAATTCACTCTGCTAAAGGCAGCCCTAGACATCTGATGAGATCAAAAACATGGATGATTTCTTGCGAGTGAGCAGAACAACTTTCCTCTTATCTGACTTGACTACATGCTTCCAGTTTGCTTCCAGCCCTTTTTAAAGATATCCCAAGAGACTTCAGTATTCAAATGTCCCAGTATTTCAAATGTTGTTCTAAAGCTTCACCTTCTTTATTAACGGGATTCACCCCTTGCCTCATAATCCCAGTTCCATCCCAAACTCATTAGGCAAGCAAGGGAGGATCATGCCACATCCTGCCTTCCCCGATCTGTGTCATGCTGCACAGAAAGCAAACACAAGCCCTTGTCATCTTTTGGTTTTAATGAGTCGAGTGATGCTACAAAAAAGACTTACAGTCTATGCCATTGCCATTATAACATTGTTATAACATTGACCCCAGAGACAAACATAGGTCATGCTACAAAGGGACATTTATGGAGATGTACTGATAATTACAGTGTTAATGGTTATTTACATTTCAACTTTAAGAACTCACACCCCTTTTCCAAATTTGGAAAGCACTTAAGATAAATAGTGACACTACTCAGTGAAAAAACATCAGCACTGTGTATCTGTCAGGCGTGAGGGCATCAGCTGTCCACTGTTCTCTGGCCCTTTGGAAGTCTCATAAGGTTTCTGTGGGGAAAGATGTTTGCAGCCAGACACAGAGCCTCAGATAACATCAAGATTACCTCTCAACACGATACACCATTACATTCCTGCACCATCCCCTCTTCAGGCAACTCCACACATGGAAGAGTCTGCTCATTACCGCTTTCTTCCTCTTACCTGTGTCTTTGAAGACCCTCTCATCAGGCTGCACTATAGAGCAGAGGCTATTGAGCACAAGCGTGCCAAGCTTGGCAGCTGTGCGCTCAGATGACTTGTAGTAATCAAGGGCAGTGTTTGTCAGAACAAACCAGCGTTTCTTCATCTTCAGAGAGGACATCTTGTTGCTGCTCTGAACCTCTTTATGAAGCCAGCCTAGCACAGGAACACAAACATGTCAATGGTTGTCTTTCACCACTACGGCAATCCTGTCTCTTTCCTGGTGGCTCTCTTACGTCAGGGACCAGAACTCCACCTCTCTGTAAAAGGCTCATGCTGGCACCTACCAGCTCTGCTTTACTGGCTATAGCGGTATCCCGCAGAGTCACTGAAAGAAATTAGCCCAAAATTTTCCACAGAGCTGTTCCACCCTTCAGCCCCATGTATTTTTTTACCAAAGAACTGTGGTTTAGTTTGCCATCACCATGAGGGCATCCTCTATTCAGAATGCTTCCCTACCAAGTCACAAACATCTGAATAAATAATTTACAATTTGTTCTTCCAAAGAGATGCCAAATGCCTATCCAAACCTCGATGGAAGAGGTTCGGTGATACAAGTCTTCTAGTAGACAAATCTGTAAGCACTATATGCATCTCTTCCTCCCATGGTCAAGAAAAAGAATTTCTCTCTCATTTTGGATTCCTCACAAAAGAAAAAAAAAAAAAAGAGAAAGAAAAGAAAATGTAATACTATAAAAGAATAAAATGTCAGCCTGCATTGCTAAAACTGTCAAAAAGACAATTTTCTATTCAGAGCTGTAAAAAGCAATGCCCACCCACAAGGCATTTCTTTTGCTCAGCCTCAGAGAATTATTCTCACCTCACTACATCTACCAGAATCAGGTTAGTTTGTTTAGCTGAGGACAGCAGCGATCCCACAAAGATCTCTCTCCCTCCCTCTCTCCATGACAGGTGTCAGAAGGAACAGAGCTTTCAGAAAACAAAAGCTGCACTGTCATGTTATAGTCAGTCCAAGCCAGCTGCTCCTAAACAGCAGCCACGCTCCCTCCTATTCCCTGATGGCATTTGCCAGACACGTTGAAATAGGCTGTGGAACTAACATCAGAAAACTAAACCTATAAAGAAGTACTTACTTTTTTTCCAGCTTTAGCTTTCTGAATCCACCTGACAGGGAATCAAATAAAAGCCAGTGCCAGCACAACACAGGACGTGGCAAGCAGCAGACAGGAAGGTGGAGGGGGGCAGAGGATGATTGTTTTGGGGGAGCAGCTAAACCCTAGATTGGATTAACTACAACCAAATCTCCCCCTCGGTTTATAAATGGAAGATGAGTTTCACATGTAGTAATTGCATGCATTTCCTTTTACCTCTCACAAGGAATTCCTGGCCATCAACCTTAGATTCGCCTTTTGGCTTCTGCAGCAGGGAGATCCAGTGATGCATCTCCTCAGGGGTGTCACTGTTGCAGTGAATCACTCGATTTGCTGTGATGATCACAAAAGAATTTGGTCTGCCAGACAATAAAAGCATTGGTCAGAACCATGCAAATATCTCAACTCACAGCACACCCAGAGCCATGTCCTTTGCCTTCCCATAAACAATGCAGAAAAGATTCTCTGAATACAAACTACAGAGAAGTGTAGAAACACTTGAGAGCATCTCCTCTGCAGCTGGTCTGCAAACTGATGAATGCAGAGACCAGATAAATGGAATTAAACATCTTTCAGAAGCTAATTCCAAAGACTAGAAAACATTAATTAGCTAATGACCAGCTGTAAAATGTCCTGGATTCATAAGCAAAGGACTTTGTTCTACCTTCTGATTGGAATTGAGCTAGTACAGCCATTCTCCTTGTATTTATTAAAACCAGTGATACGATAGCAAATGTAGGTCCCAGCAGGTCTGCAAAAATGGGTTTGAGGTTGGTTTTAAAAAGAATGAGCTGATCCTGACAAAGCAGAGGAAAAACTGTTCTGTTGTTCCTAGATTAATTTGCCCTTCTCTTGCAACAAACAATTGTATCCTACCAAGAGAATATTCACAATTCTGCACAAAATTGATGTTTTACAGGAAAATGGAAAAATAAAAAATATGACCAGTTCCAAGAGGACAGGCTCAGAAAGCTTTGAAAGCAAATGAGAAATTGAAATGTAGAATGCAAGTATGATGCAAAAGGAAAAAGGTGCAAATCAAGCCACTGCATAAACCTGTGGAATATAAAAATAAGCTGCATAAAAACCTTGGTTGAAAAATAAGCATTCGCCTCAGAATTTGTTTAACATTGATTCAAACATTGGTACTCTAGAAGAGTGTATCTCAGCAGATGCATGAAAAAATTTTGACTCTCCAGCTTACTATTTCTGCCTAGTTTTTTACTGGGACACAGATTAACTATGAGGAGTCCAGACTGAGAACTGGCTAAAATATTTTGATCAATGAAATTTTCGTTTGCTACAGAGATACGCATTTTCTAAACTAGTAATCCCGAAGTCCCAGCAACCTGTGTGAGAAAAAAAGAGAGACCACAGAGGTAAATAACTTAATGGCTAACGTTTTACTTCAGCACTGTAGTGAGAAGCTTTGCCCTGGCTGAACCTGTGAACGCTGTAGGAAATAATTAAATGTTAACGTAAAGTGATATGCAACGCCCCATAATCTTCTCTCTGAAACTAACCAATCTGTGAACTAACGGTCTGTGCTCTCTTGCATTGCAGAGATTTCAAGAAGAGTGCAGATTTTTAAATTCATCCATTATTTTTCCACAATGTTGTTTTTTTTCCCTAAATCTACAAGATAAACTTGAAATTACGCTGTTTTAAAACTGGAAGTGCTGCTTTTGCTGGATGTTTTTGTTCAGTGTTAATAATAGGTAAGACTATAATTTCTTGGCATTGAGGTTATGCTGTTTCCACTTTTAAGATGGAATGGAGTATCTAAACTTTCACTCACAGAAAATACGCTTGTGAACTTCATGTCTGTGAAGTGACGTAGCTTGAAACAACCTGAAGACTTCAGTTGAGTTTATTTGTTTGGAGATAAATTCTTCTGAGTTTAAACAAATGCAAACCCCAAACAAAACCTGGACCTCCCACAAAAATATGTCAGAGAGTTTCCAGCCTAAGAGATGGTGAGATTGCTGTACCTACCTATCAGGATTGTCTGAAGCACAGACAGAGTCAATAAGCCCAACATCCAGGGTTCCCTGTACAGTGAGAGAGACACAGATAACAGGAATTGCTTGCATCTTACATTACAGACATTCTCCATTCTCTTCATGAACAGGATTGGAACTGAAAACATTCTTCTGAATTCCAATAGCTTGAGTAGAAATGAACTTATGAGAAAGGCACGAGTGAGTCATCTTTGCTCCCTAAACAGCATGATAAGATGCACAAGGGCTCCACAGGGCTGGAGAAAAAAGAGCTACAGATTTCCAGACATTATGAAGGTCTAAAATAATCTCTGCCTCCACAGCTCAGTACTAGCAAAACACCCTATTCTTCCCAACTGTGTGTTTTTCCGTCTGGAATAACTGTGACCCAGACTAGTCCCATAATCCCATCCAAAGACATTTTATCTGCATGAGGTAGCCCCCCTCTTCCCTCCAAACCAAAGAGAAGAGCCATTGGTAATCAAGCTGAGCCACTCACCACAACCACTACGTTCCCCTCTGCTTACCCTCTTTTCTATCAGCTTTGCTGCTCCTTTATAATAATTGTCCAACTTTCTTACACTGCTCATGAACTACAGCACTGCAAGTGCTGGAGAAACGTGCACAAAATAGTTAAACACAGAGTGCTCTAAGCATGCCCACAGGCTGGTTGCACAGTAACTTACCACAGCGTTCTTTGGATTGGCCTGTTCATCTTGCATTTCCCTCAGCTGCTGCGCTGTAGCGCTGTGCACTCGGCTCAGGACATTAAACCAACCACTGGCAATCAAAACAGACTTGAAGTTAAGATTTGGGTAGTGAAGCTGGCTTTAGAATACGATCAAAGAACCTGGAAAGCTGCCTGTGGGAAAATTTCTTCATTCACAATTTCCTGAGGACTATGCTACAAAATATCTCTTGGGCTGATCATACCAGACTCTAATGTCTTCCTTCCTCCTTATTTATCCATGAAAATTCTGTGCGTGTTCTCCAATCTCCTGCAAAATCCAGTTTTCTACTTGCTCTTCAAGGAACTGTAAGCAGGCAGTGGCCTCACACATCAGCACACTGAGGGAGCACATCAGCAGACTGAGAAGAGCATACAGCAGTTATGAAGACTGGGTCAGTTGGGAACCTTCCTGGACTAGAGTCCTAGAGACGCCTGGGAGCCTTCCTAACTAGCGTCTCTCTGATCTGCTCATAAACTCAGAAGTCATAGAGCTGTCAATTAATCATGGGGGATTTTATAAGTTAATTTGGAGTTATTTGTCTGTGAAAGAGCTTCTCGTCACAGACATATCTGGAGGCTAATCTCTGTTGCAGAACAAGCAGATTCTTATCTCCAGCTTCCAGTGAGACCAGCAAACATCTACACTTCATGGAGGATTCTCAAATTGGATACTCTGCAACATCTGCTAATCTGCCCTTTACTGGTGCAAGCGTTGGTGCTTTCTTCCCCTCAGAACAGAGACCAATATGTCATAGACAGAGGCCACATTTGGTTTACACTTGCCCTAGCAACGCTGCAATGTTACCTCAGAGCATGCCTATTCCAGTGGGTGGAAGTTACTGTTTCTTCAGCTACTACCGTTTGAATTTCCCTATTTCTTGTTCACGTGGCTGTTCTTTAATCTATTATGGTTAATTTATTTGCATCCAAACACTTTCCCCTTCCTCTCCATACACCCAAATGAAACAACAACAGATCCTAAATAACTTCACAGAATCAGATTGAAGTAGATCAGAGAAACCGTTACACCGGTTGGGCTGAAAGAGCAGAAGCCTTGGTAAGAGTGGGAAAAGTGGGAAGACATGAGCATCTAGGGACAGTAACCTCTTAACTTGGCTTTGCAGAGGCAGAACAGGTTGTCCAACCTGCCCTTAAACTACTGATTACCACTGCCCGGCCAGGACAGCAAGAAGGAAGGACATGAGTCATTTGTTTGCTTTGCACTGGGAAGATTTTATCAGATGACACTACAGACTCTGATAAGCTGAAGCCTTTTCTCTGTCTCCTGGATAAAACCCAACTGCTCTCACAATCATTTACAGACAACATGAATAGACTTTTTGTTTGATTCAAGATTCCATCTAATAAATAAATCAGCTATTAGATGTTCCAGTTTATATTAAGGTTTTGTGTGTCTCCTGAAGTAACCCTTGATTTCAGCATGCTCACAGCCACCTAAGAAGGTGGCAGTCCTGTGACTGTCCGATAAGCTGAACCACCATCTCGGTAGCTGCCAACAGGGAGTCCCCAAAGTAGCTGTGGTACCTCCCTGAAAGCACAAAATGAACAAATCCCCTCTTTTCTCCAGCAAAAGGGAATTGATTCTGTTTCCCAGGCTCTCCATGAATCATTGGGTCAGACCTGAACTGAATGAACAAACCTAACAAAACTCCCTCTTATACCTGGCATCTTCTGGTGACTCTGCGACGATGTGATAAACTCTGTCTTCCGTCACAATGTCCAAGGCATTCTCCTTCTCATGAATGTCCACAATCTCCCTGAAACACAGCAAATCACAAGAGCCAAAACTGAAAACCTTGTACAGGCATCTAGCCCGTTTTTCTCACATTGTACCATGCACCACACAAAAGGAAAATGTCTGGTTCAGATGGCTTGTAACTCTGACAGAAATAAAAAATTCCTCTAATACACATTAAGACTTTTAGGGTCCCCTTAAAAAGATTTGTACAGATAATCTACTACAAAAGCAAAGCTTAAGGTGTTGAATGGATTTCCTTAAAGACACCAACAGACTAGATGGAAGTAGAGATAACAGGGAAGGTGATACAGAGGGCTGTTTACAAAGTGGGGTGTGCCACTCTTTTTGGCACTTTGCAGGCCCACGTGTTGCTAATTGGTGACTAGTCTCCCCTTTCTTACAGCAGGAGCTGAGGAATTGGCTGTGGCAGCAAAAAGAGCATTCAGGGCTCAGGAAAAGGCATAGTACACGCTGTCAAATTCAAATCCTACTGTGAGCTTCATATCACCTCTGTGAAATGCCTGCAGAAGCCAGGAAACAGATGGAGTCTGTGTAGGGGAGAATGCATGGGGTATGTATTTAATTAGCTCCTCCTGGTCTGGCTCCATCCATGGCTTGGAAAGACCTTCTGCCTGATTATGAAATGCAAGACTAGAAAAGGAACTATCAAATAATTCCAGACTCCCCCCAGAGTAAAACCAGAAGCTCTAATTGTCTTTTCCTTCCCTTACGATCCTGCATTCTCCTAGCCCTATGGGAGCTATGCAGGCCAATGAACTGGCATCATTATTGATTTCGAGAGTAAATACTAGGGATCAAAAGGATTTATTCTTTACTCACTTTGCCTTTCTGATATCAATTGTCCCTTTCAGCTTTTCCTCGCTATCATTCTCAAAGTACATCAGCTTGGATTCTCGAAGCACAAACCAACGGCGTTTCCAGTTGCGGCGTGAAAGTGTTGACATGCCTCCACCTTTTTTATAGAGCCAGCCTGACTTCAGCGCCTCTTGCTTGGTGCGGAACCACATGAAGGCCTCGTTCTTCAGAACACACCAGCGCCGCCTCCATGGGTTCATGAGACCTCCTGCAAAGCGAGGGAGCAAGATTTCATCAGACACACAACAAGGGCCACATTTCCATTCTGATCCTGCTTCATGGGCACTTAGCTGCCACTTGAGCTCCTAATATGAAACAAAGGAGCTGAGGGAAAGAAATAAGGTTATGCTTAACTTTGGACAGAGAAAAAACAGAACAAACTAGTGAAACAAACACAAAATATAGAAGCATATGCACTACCAAAATATTTTTGTATTGTCTTCAGTTTTGTACCTCAGAATGAATCATTTAAGCCCCTAACAAGTGGGCACAACTAGGTCCCAGTGGCAAAGATATCCAGACTAATTCCCTGACATCCACCTCCTCACTCTTTGTTTTATTTGCTTGTTTTAAATAAAAGAAGAAAAAATAAAGAGAGCAAACAGATGAAGATGACGATTCTGGAGAAACAGAAGAGGAAAGTGGGCTTCCTGGATTCCATCCTTCCATGGTTTTGGCAAAAGCTTCTTACCCTTCATGTAGAGATAGCTGTGAAAATAGGGTGGTCCTGAGCCATTGAAGATAGTGACTCGTCCATTACAAAACTCTTCATCCGTATCAATGTAAACATCCACTTCTTCTTCACTGTCCAGAAACTAAAAGGAAAAGAAGAAATACCAGCTACTTGGGTTCTCCTGGTCGCGGGAAGACTGGAGCAAAGCAACCAAGCTAGAGGAAGCCACGTGATCAGAAGGTGCAAAACTACACATACTCCCTTTACAAAAAAAGCAACACAGTTAAACTAGAGGCTTGACAGCTTACCCATTAATGCCTAAAGCAAGAGTCTCCAGAGCATGGAATTTTCATACCAGAAAGGAGAGTGACATTTGGCAGTGGACATGGCTAGAAAACTCCAGTTACCTGCAGTAACAAACCTTCCTGTTTCAAGGCAGAGCCCACAGTCCAAAATCCAATTTAATGGGATTAAGAGAGAATTTTTCATTTTGGAGGATTTTTCTGATTTTTTTTGACAGACATGCCAAGATGCTGGACAAGATGGAGCACTAATCTAAGTTACTGAAATAATAGTACAGTATTTACTCATCCCTGTTCTCCAACAAGATAATGGCCCTCAGCCATAAGAAAGTACTTCACACATGAAATCCCCAATTACTCATTATCTCCTTTACCTCAAATACAACTTTTCATTGGCTTCATTAATTTAATACTAATGAAGGCAGCTCCTCAGTCCCTTTCCCTTCGATGTGTGTTTCTTCTTTTCATTTTTCCCTTCTGTCCTCTCTCTGTGACCCCTTTGTGCTCCTCTTTTGTTTCATTCCTGTTCCACTCATTCATTCTCCCTTTCTTGCCATTAAGTTTCAAAACCCAGGCACTCTTGAATCAGCAGCTACTGATGCACTGATCACCCAGCCGCAGTTATCTCTCCCTGTGGCTCACGTCATGGCATTTGTATCAACTGGATTTTTCATGAGTCTTACTCACTAAGAAGCCCAATAAAATCCCCCACTTCTATTTACATTTTAAGAATGATAGAAACTGGCCTAGGCTGTGACAGAATGATTCATGACTTGAAGATTACCTGAGAGAGATCTGTGAGCACCCACCCACAGAGAAGGTACCTTTACTCAAGCAGATCACATCATAAAACATTCTGATGGCTGACAGCTGACATTAGGGAAATGCAAACAGGAAAAATCATGCAGCTTTTTAAGAAGGGTCACAATCTGCCATTGGAAAATAATAGCAAGGGAAGTAAATTGAATTCCTTAGGAAAAAAAAAAATCAATCATTTTCTAAAAGATATTTTTTAGTTCAACTCTCTATTCTCAGGGACATCATTTATCTGAAGTATTTTTATGGCTGTCATTGGCTTCACACCTGAACTGCTCACAACCTTATGTGGGCTTACCTGACATCCTGTTCTGTAAGGAGGTTTATCTTTGCAGCATTAAGCAAGTAGCCCGAGGGCACTCAGCAAGTCCAGAGCCGAGTGTGGGATCTAAGATGAGATGCTTCAAGTGCGAGGCTAATAGCCCAGCTTTACTACCCTGCCATTGTCCCCGAGGTAGGAATGAAAAGGTTCAGTGGTCCTGATTGTGTGCACCGGGACCAAGCCTGGATCAGCACGGTAATTTCTTCAAGGCTTAGAATAGCTTAACTTGCACAACAGCTGAAAATAAACCCTTGACTCTGAACAGTGACAGGACTAGAACAAGAAAAGTTTCAGTGATGGAAACAAATCAAACCCCAGCCTTTCCCATTTCCTCTGGCCTTCAGCCTATCTTTGACTCTTCCCTTTTTTCGAAGCTAATTATTGAAGTAAGAGAGAGTTATATGTTAGTAACAGTGCCCAGAGCAAGCAGGCATACAGTAAGGTGGCAAGGATGTTATAAATATCAAAAAAGTCACACTAATGTCCAGAAAGGTGAAGGGAGGGATTCTTACCGAGTCCAGGCTGCCACGGTTGGAGTCCAGGCTGGTACCATGGGAGTGTCTCAGACCTTCCTCACCACTCAGGGGCTCAGCTGAGGCACTACCTGCATCTCCACAGCCATCAAACTCCTCATGGTCGTAGTCAGACTCCACATCTGGGGGGGAAGTGTAAATTGTCTCTCCCACCTCTCCGCTGTTACTCCTCTGTGTATCTGAGACAGCGCTGTAAATGCTCTCTGCTGGGTCAGATAGGGCTCTCTGCTCCTTGGGGCTAGTGGTTCTTTCCACAAGTTGTCCTGGAGCAGGGACAACCTCTCCCACTTCCCTTTGGAGAAGTGAAAGGTTTGTGTCTGCACTTTCCTCTGAGTAGTTATCGCTGTTTCTTGCACCATGCTGATTCAAGACCACCAAACTGGAAGCTGGATGTCCCTCATCATCAGCATGAAAACCCTCATCCACTTCTTCTTCGGCTAGTGGTGCTACCAGGCTACAGTCAATGTTGAGTGTCCCCTCACTAGAAAGCGAGCGCTCTAAGTTCTGCACGCTTTCATCCAGATTGCCAAAATCCAGCAGCTCCAAGAACTCCTGGGCAACCCTAGATGCCTCTTTTTCCAGCCTCTGGATCTCTTCTTCTCGCTGCCGATTGATTTCATTCCTGGTGTTTTCACAGATGATAGACATGTGATCCTCCTTTTGTTGCTGCAACTTCTCAATCTCCTTCTCCAGTCTTAAGATCTCCTCCATCTGACGTCTCTCTTCTTCTTGCAGGGGAATATCTACCTCCTCAGTCTTTACTGCTTCCACCTTAAAAGAATTTATAATAATGTTAAAGCAGTTTCTTCAACCTGTATGTGTTCCTTGCCTGGACCTTTCATTCTTCCTACTTCCTGTGCTTGCCTTGTACATCCCATCTGCAAAAAGATGACTCTAGGCATCCTCTCCTTTCCTGACCAGCATCTGCAATCACCCATGGTGTAAAAGCTAAAGACAGAACTATAGGATCATCAGGTACCTCCTTTTTTCCAGCAGCCTACCTCCTTTCTGAATCATACTAAGTAGCTCACTGGGATCAATGAATTTTTAGAAGAGCCTCTCTGCTGCTCGTGTTACAGCCCTTCATACACTACAGTCTGGATAAAAGCATTCTGGAAGTCCATCCTCTCTTTTTGAACTATCTCATACACTATATAGGAGAAAGGAACTATATACGAATACATATGAATAGCCTGCTTGAGAACTGAGGACTTCCCAGAAATTCATTAGAACATTTGGGGATTTTGCTGCTTCCTGACTGGGGATCTGACTATCAGAATCTACGTCTGGAAGGGATATTTGCAACAAAGCAGGACTGTATCCACTCCAACCCCACCCCACCAAAACTTCTCCCGGGATTTCTTGGCACTGTTTAGCATCACCGGATGGATGATGGCTGCTGAAGACACTGTCTTCCTCTATTCTCCATACTGAAGTAACAGGCAATTTCTAGCAAGTGCACAATAATTAGAAGACAGAAAATACTGGTAACTTTCACTGATGTTTAGCTAGAAGATAAAGCCACCCTCCCCTCCACGGAGGATGTTGAAAACATACACGCACAAGAAAAAAAAAAAAACAAAAATAAATTCCAAAAGGATTTCATCTACTTCCTGACAGGACAATGCAGACGACAAATTGGCCCATCTATGCCAACTGTTTTCTGTACAGTTACCCTGTTGCTTGTTCTTCAGCTGACTCTTTCGTGTGGACAAATGCATTTTTATACTCTAATCTGTCATCTCTCCTGAACAGAGCTGGCCTGAAACTAGGGAACAAGTGGTTTGGGAAAAGAAATAAGAAGATACACAGCTGTTTTCACAAACCTCAGGGTAGGTGGGTCTGCTCTCTGATATATCAAGTACCAGAAACAATTAGATCAGTTACAAGGGGTTTATTTTAGCCATAGTAGCAGCCTTCTGCGCTCTTATTTTTGCTGTTACAGGCAACAATCCAACAAAACAGACTGCGTCACAGAGTAGCACATCACAAGGTCACGTAATAAGCTCAAGCAGTAGAGATAAAAAAGGATGCTGCATGTTCAATACAGACATTTTCAAACAGGAACTATGCAAGCTGGTACATGAGCCTTGAAGAAAAACCCACCTTGTTAACTCTATGCACCTCTGCCAAAGCCAAACACCTGCAGGTTTTGAGTGAACAAAGCCCATTTTTGAAAGAGTATTGCCACAATAACAATACTAGCTCCAGGCGAAGCGTAGGCTATGAAGGACCCTTCACAGATACTCAGAGAAGACATGTGAAAAGACTAACTGTTACACTTACCTGAGTCACCCGGAGTAGCGCGTTCAGTTGCTCCTTTTCTCTGTTAAAAACAAGACATGATAGTCACGAGACGGACTCAGTTCTCCTGCATGAGGCTTTTAGAATTACATAGACACATCATCCCTCCGTGGATAAAGTTAAAATAAGGTACCTGTTGTAAGACTGATTTAAAAGCTTTTGTAATTTAGTAAAAATCCAATTCTCTGCGGTTGGCATGACCTTTGTGGATACAACAGATTTTCTCCATGCACTTAACTTTCAGATCAATCAGAAATTGGATTAGTTGGAACACACTAGGAAGGACATTGGAAACAGTGGCAGAAAGGCAGATCAGTTCGACTCATGATAAATGTAAACAGAATCTTCTAAAGTACTTTACGTCCATGGATATTAAATGAGGTTGTACAGATATCAGGAAACGCTGTGTGTGGTTTTTAAACCAGAACAGAATTATTGCAATACCAGCACTGAATTTGTGTTTTTTATTTTGCTTTTACTGTCTTAAAGCCCTCCAAAAGTTATCAAGTTTTTGTGCTTTGTTAAATGATTAAGCTGAGGACTTTCAATTCTGAAGACCTGGGTATTCCAGCTTGCATAACTTCTAAGTGGCATGCAAAACCTAGTTTACTAGCAAAGGCTGGAAGAGTGAGAGTTTGTTAGTAAACATGAGTAGAGGAAAAAAACTATCCCACGGTGCTGCATCTCTATTCAAATCAAAAAGGTTGTACTCCAAGGGAAAGCTGTCACTATGGCCAGTTTCTCCATAGTGAGCACGCTACAAGCAACTGAACTAGGAGACAGACAAATGCCAGGGTCACGTTTAGGGAGAAGGGATAGGATGTGGCTGGATGGAAGAGTCTGCCTGTAGCAACCACTGTGCAGCTAAATTCAGACTGGCAGTGGTAACTTTCAAATCTGTCATTCAACCTCAAGCAGAACGGGAGGGCAACAATATTTATCTCCCAGGCCCTGCAGCTTTTCCCAGCCGAATACTAAATTGCAGTTCTAAGTCACAAAGTCCGTAAAGTTCTCACTCTTGCACTCTCCCTCTCAAAAAAAAAAAAAAAAAAAAAAAATCCAGGAAATGTTTATAAATTAAAGCTGACATAAGTGAGATCCAGATGGTTCGAACTCTACTGAAAGATCTCTGACAGTAGTCATGAGTTAAACAACTGCCTTAAATTATATGAGGGTTCAAGAAGCAGAGCCGTTTAAAGCAAATCAGGAATACCACCTACAATCTACACGCTAATTCCTGCAACTGTTCCTCACCGGTTTTGGACCTCTGCTATTCCTTGCTGCTTTCCATCCATCTCCAACCGATCCACACTCTTCCTGAAACGCAGCACCCAAAAGTAGGGACAGTACTCCAGCTGAAGCCTTACCAGTGCCAAGCTGAACTGAAGAATCACCCCACATCTTACAGAAACAATCTTGTCCATAGACGGCATTTGCGTTCTCCTCTCACACAGCGTGTCACTGGTGACCAATACTCAACTTAGCCTCCAGACCTTCTTTCTGCTGTTGAAGTAGGAATTCCTCCTTCTCTCTCTATGCATTCGATCATTCCTAACTGCAGAGCTGCATATGTCTGTATTTAATGTTATCCTATGTTTTTCAGACCATTTCTTTAATTTGCCAAAATTATTTGAACTGTAATCCTGTCTAGCTATATACCTAGCTATATACCTCACCAGATGGTTTCATCTGCAAATTTAGTAAGGATACTCTTATTTCCTCATCCAACTTACTATGAAAACATGGCACTAGTACCATATCCAGCACAGACCATGGAAGAATGCCATTCAGGAGTTCTCTCCTATTTAACAAAAAAATACTGTTGCTTACTAATTAAAATGCAATAATACAATGCAGTAAAACCATAAATCCTAGACTTGTTTCATATGCTTTTTTTCCAAACCACATTCCTTCTAGTGTCTTACTGTCATAACATGCCCTTACCTGCCCTCCACCTACCCAAAGTCGAGCTACTTGCCCTCTATGCCTTTTCCCTATCCACAAGGCATGTCGTAAGCTATCACAGAAGGAAACAGATAACTTTAATGCTGTTTGTTCGTCAGAAATCCACGTTATTTTTTAACTCCTTTATCAAGCATTGACAATTGTTTGATTATTTGTTTCAGTACCTTCCTGAAATTGAGGTTAGGCTGACTGGTCCACAGTTGCCCTGTTCTTCCTTTTCCCATTTTAAAAGGGGGTCATTACATTTGGAATTTTCCAGTTTTATGGAAACTCCATTGCTATCCACAAAGGAGAAGGAAGAGAATAGCGTCTGATTCAAACTACTTCAGCTGGTTCTCAAAGTACCCAACGATTAATTTCACCAAGTCCGGATGGCTTCTTTGTAATCTGATTTATCTGAGCATTCTCTTAACTTTTTATTTCCCTGCTAGGTTCTGAATTCTTGCACGTCTGTGCTAATTGTATTTAGTATCCAACAGCTAAGCCTTTTGGGGAAGACAAATAAAAATAGCATCAAAAACCTCAACTTTCTCAACATTATAATTTTTCTTCCTGTTGAACAGTAGACCAAATTGCTCCATGTCGCCTTTTTACTAACAGTGTATGCAGAGTAACTGCACGCCAACTTTTAGTTCGTTACAGTTCAGTTGGCATCTTGGTCCTTCTAATTTTGACTCTGCATGTGTGTTGAGTTTTTTTGCTTGTTCTCAGTAGATTAGATGATTTGCAATTTCTGTGGACTTGCAGATCATTTTTGAGGTCAAATGGAAGTTCAGGATTTAGCCAAGTTGGCCTGCTCGTACTGTCTTGGCTACTCACTCCGAATGAAGTCATTTGACATCAGGTAGAAAATGAAATCAAAATGAGCAGTTCACCTGCTTCCTAGAAACACTGACACTTCTTTACAATGATGCTGGGTTCAACATATCTTTCATGGGCTGGGAACTAGAGGGCAGTGGCAGAAACACACAAGAATAAATAAGCTGAATAGTTCCTTTTAGCTAGAACTAGATAGGAACAAGCTCTACTTAGTACAATGAGGACTTCAGACCTGAGAGAGTGTCTGTAGCATTTGGCATCTGCAAAGTAGTTACTGACACTCTGAACTTGCACAGCTTCATGTTGCTGGTGAGGCTGTTGTTGAAACCTGACACATTGATAAAATGGAGCTTTCAGTGTTGTTCAACAAATTCCTTGACCTGGTATCATCGTTGGTGTCACTGACTCCATGTCTTGTCCCAGCAGGTACGTCACCCTACTGCCTCCAGTGAAACCGCAGGCAATCTCCTTTCCTTGTGACACGCTTCTAACCTTAGAGTTTCCTAATCTTTGTCATACACTTTCTGATCTTAGCCTGCCAAGATCCAACTTTGGGACAAGCAAGTAACAAAAGCCTGTAAGAAACATAACCAACTATTTATGAGAAATTTAAAATGTCACAGGATTATTTGTTCAAACTTATATGATAATCTTGAAGTTTTATGCTTCCTTAAAACAAAAGATTTTCAAGAGAGATACCCCATTTGGATAGGATGTAGGTAACCATGGAGTGAACAGTAAACGATGCATGAGGTGCAGGATTCTCAATAGGTGCACTGTCACTGCTCACAGATTGCCTCTTTTTGTCATTAGCTCTTCCTTTCCCCTCCTGATCTCTATCATCTCGGATGAGAGATACACAGCAGCAGGAACATGGTGAGGACGTGTATTCTCATGCTTGTAAGAGCTGCCGTAGCAGCACAGGCGCACTGCCCGTCTTTCCCTCTGACCCAGCTTACTGGAGGCACCAAGACCTATGAACTTTGGTACCTTTTCACACTGCTAATCCCTCCAGATTTTGGAAGACTGCATAAAACTTCCCTTACCACTGCAAAGGCAAATTATGCATCTCTGCCCAGTCAGTGAAACTGCCTCCTTTCATGTACATTCCAAAGCAGAAAACCACTAAACAGAGGTAAAAATACACCAGAATTAGCTCTCCTAAAGGAAGCAGGACACTCCTTTTCCACTCTGCTTTTCTATTCTGAGCTGCCCGCAGTCCACCCCAACGCTGCCCGCTGGCACTGGGACACCGTCTCATGCAATTCTGTTCCAGCGTCACCATCACACCAGTGGCCCAGAGCTGCTTTTACACCTCAGCAGCTTTAGTGCTAGGGAACTACAAGTGCAAGATACCATCCTGTACCTTTCCTTCACCTCTTCCTCTTCCTGCTTCCTCCTACGCTCCTCCTCTTCTTGCCATTGTCTTTCCTCTTCCTCTCTTCTGATCTGTTCTTCCTCTTCTTGCCTCCTTCTCTCCTCCACTTCCTGCTTCCGCCTGAGTTCCTGCTGCAGCAGGTGCTGGTAGCGGCCGCGAGCCAGGCGGCCACGCCAGTGCTTCTGCAGGGTGACTGCAGAGGCCTTCAGTTGCAGCAGGCTCTTCTTCCAGAAGTACGCTCGGTAGTTCTTTTGGATTATAACAACACTGGCTAGCACCTTTTGGTACTTCTTCCTAGAAACAGAACCAGACACTTAATGCGCCATGAAGCAATGCATGCTTTGCATTTCCCAGGCCCTGGTGTATTGACCAATCTTACCGCATCCACAGAAAAATGAATTTGGGAAAATATTGCTCAGAAATGAAACCATTTCTGCTCCTCTACTGCCATTACCCGTGAATCACATTCTCCTCACTGTTCTCATTCCTACATCTACCACTGGTTTGTTTCTGTGGGCACCTACTTTTGCGAAGACCCTCGGAGGATGGATATTTGGCACATGGACACAGAAGGTCCACTGGCCCAAAGTCTCCTTGCATTGCACATTACACACATTCACTGTGCAATTAGCATAATCACTCAGTGTGGATTTATTGTAACAAAAAAAATACAAATGGCCTTACTTTTTGAGAACAAAGCCCTGTGTTGTCCCATCTTTTAAGTGGCCAAAAGCAAATTACTCCAGGAAAAGTAAAAAATGGGGCAAAAATAGCTCTGGTCACAGTAATCTCGTATTGTTTGGGGGGAAAACACAGTGATACTACAGTACTGATTCCTGCATATAACATTGCAACAGGCTCCCATAAACATATACTTCTATTGCACAACATTCTGCTTCAACAATAACGACATCAAAATGAACTTTGTTGGACTCTAAAACCAAAAAACATGGTAGGGCCCCAAAAGAAAAGAATCATTATTCAGTATTTCTATAGTCTAGTGAAGTTCTAGAAAAGTCAGTTCCTGCCTCTGCATTAGAGAATGTTTTTATCAGGGACCTGAAAAAAAAAAGTCACTGGTGGAAGTTTGTACATGATACACAAACCGGGCAAATAACAGAAGGGTTACTATTACACCGTAATCTGGATCAATTTGTAAACTAGATTCAAGCAAACATTAAGCAATTCAAAAGCGCCAGAGGTAAGGTCTTCTACTGAAGAACCAACGGCCAAACACACTTGATGTGGGACTGTGTTAGGAAGCAGCAAGTCAAAAAAGGATTTAGGGGCCACAGGGATCATCAGGTGAAGGCAAACGCCCAACACAATGCTATAGAAAAACCCCACTACTGGGATTCTTATACTTGCGGGCAGAAATACTGTGTGGAAGGGGACTGCACTGATATTTTCATCCTGTGCTCAGTGTTAGCACCTCCATTTCAACGTTAGACCCCCAAGTGACTTCTGACGAAGCAGGAGTGGAACCAGGAATCCTGGCTTATAGGAAGAGAGCACTTGCTCCATGACCTTAAGAAAGAGAAGGCTAAGGAAAGTCTTGATCGCAGTCAAAGTACCCACATTTTTGGATGGCATTTCTATTTATCCAACAGGGGATGTAACAAGATTATTTGACCTGAAACTGAAGTCTATTCAGGCTGGAAATAAGCAGGCATTTTTTAAGGTAATTGAATATATTTAGACACCTTAATATCTT